CTTTCACAATCTCATCTCTTGCTACTTTTTGGCAATCTCATCGTCTCATTTAAACAACATTTTTAAAGCAAGTCATGAAGCAAATAGGGAACTCCAGCCAGCACGATGAAACCTCTCAAAGTATCATAGTTACTAGTCATGGCTTCTAAATATCATGGACTGGGAGTTGACAGCCAAGCAGACTTATCCTTGGAAATATTTATTTATTTATTTATTTTGCTTCTGCTACTCCCAGTCTGCTTACCATTCTCTTTAATCTGTAAAGACATTTCCAAGCAGGGGAAACGTGCAAAACTACTTTGCAAAACAAATTATGCAAAGAAAATATATACAGGTGTACTGAATTAGAACATGTTCTGACAGTGGAATATGAATTTAGCTGGGTGCAGCTTGTGCCCAGTTGGCTAAACCAGTACAGTGGTGCCTCGACTTACAAAATTAATTGGTTCTGGAACTCCGGTCATAACTCGAAATGGTCGTAGGTTGAAGCACCATTTCTCATAGGAATACATTGAAATGCAATTAATCCGTTCCGTCCAAAGGAAAAAATCACCAAAGAAACCCTCAAACCACACTGCAAGACCCATCGGAGATGTGATTAATCTGTTCTGGCCTAAGGAGAAAAGAAAAGCAAAGCAAACAAACAGTGCAAGATCCTTCGGAAATGCAAAACAAAGCAAAAAGCAAACAGACACTGCAAGATACTGTGGGAATGCAAAAAAAAGCAAAGCAAAAAGCAAACAAACACTGCAAGACCCTTCGGAAATGCAAAAAAAGCAAAGCAAAAAGCAAACAAACCCTGCAAGACCCATCAGAAATGGGAAGAAAGAAAGCCAAAAAGCAAACGGACCCTGCAAAACCCATCGGGAATGGGGGGGACCCAAAAAGCAAACAAACCCTGCAGAAACTTGGGGGGAAAAGCAAAAAAAAATCAAAAACTTCAAGACCCATCACAGCAAAGAAACATAACCCCCCCGCCCAAAATCATGCTGCAAACCCCACCCAGAACAGTTTTTAAAAAGAAGAAAGCAACACCTTACCTTACCAGGCAGTCCAAAGCCTCCTCTGATCACACACACGCTAACTGCTGGGGCGAAATATCTACAGTGGGCCCTCTACTTACGGAATTAATCCGTATTGGAACGGTGGCTGCAGGTCGAAAAGTCTGATTAATCCTGTAACTGGCCGTTTTTGTTCCATTTTTATTCCATTTTGTTTTTTTCCTGGTCTGTAGGTCAATTCTCCGGCTGCAAGTCGAACCTAAATTTTGCGGCCAGAGAAGTCTGTAACTCGAAAAGTCTGTAAGTCGAGCCGTCTGTAAGTCGAGGGTCCACTGTACAAAGAAGCAGCCTCTTCACCACCAACAGTTAGCAATTTGAATTCCACCCCTTTTTTCCCTGCCTTTTTTAAATCATAATTTGAAGCTCCGGTTGTAAGTCAACGCAAAATGTTGTATGTATGTATGTAATTCGTATGTCGTATGTAACTTGTATGTCATATGTATAATCTCATATGCAAGGTCTCCAAAGCTCTGACTTCTGTATTTAAATCCTGGAGTTATACTTCATGACTCTGTAATTGCCCTGTTTGATTAATGTTGTTTCTCAAGGGCGCAAAATGCAGCTTAACCACAAAACAACAGGAAATGGAGAAAAAACACAAATGTAGAGTGAATCTGCACAGCTTGGCTTGTTCATCAACCTCATAAAAGGATTGCCAGTCTAAAGTGTTTTGAAGTATATATACGTTCAGTGCCTCAAAGTTGTGTTGTAACAGTTTCCTGTTGCTTCAGTAAGGTAGTGGTGAATATGAAGAGTGATGGCTGGGAAATGAAACCATAAAGCTGAACATGAGCCATTGGGTGCTATTTTCTCTTTTCCTTCAATTTTCTCACCAGTGAATACCAGTTGTCCAGAGCCAGAAATGGGTTACATGTTTTTAAAAAAGAAATTTTGCTTTCATTTCTGGGTGTGCATGCAGATATTGCAGGGATGATGGGCTTTCTTTATTCTTATCAGACCCTTGCACAATTTAAAATCATGGACATATGTGAAATAATAGGTTAAATTAAAATATTAAGATAATTATTTTTGACTAGAAGCAGTCTTTTGACCAAACTCCGGGAGGCAGTGGAAGACAGGAGGGCCTGGTGTGCTCTGGTCCATGGGGGTCACGAAGAATTGGACACGACTTAATGACTAAACAACAACAAGAAGCAAGCTACTTCAATATTGTTATCTTGGCCATTTGCTAGATCTTCTTTTGTACATGTGGTGGGGCATAAAATTGCATGCACATATGGTATGTGCTGCATTGATTGAATTTCTCCACAGTCACAGAAAATTTGCCCTTTATCCAGGTAGTCCCATTTTGCTTGATTATTCTTTGATCTTCCTACTCTTCTTTGAAGTTTATTAAGTGATTTCTAGATGGTCCAGCTAGAGTCTTGTCCTGGTGAGAGACTCTCTTCAGCATTTATCTATTGGGCAAGATCAAGATGTGTTGTTTTTGTTCTCCATAGGTTTAGCCTAGCCTCTTCCACTCTGATATTTAGGACAGGAGTTCCCAACCTTGGGTAACCAGTTCTTGGACTACAACTCCTAGGAACCCTGGCCAGCACAGCTACTGGTGAGGGCTTCTGGGACTGGCAGTGTGTGAATAACTGGGTTACCCAAGATTGGGAACCACTGATCAAGGGGGCTGGTGTTCATGAAATAAATAGATTTGGTGCTGTATTACCTTATTTCATTCATTATTTGCTAGCACTTCCTGATGTACTTTTGGAGGAACAAAATAGTCAAATAATAGACTTCTTCAATGGAAATAGGTTTAAGGCAGCCAGTTCATAATCCTGATAGTGCATTAAGAGCTGTAGCCACTTATTTGGCATGTGCTAACTTATACAATGTGTCACTAGCATATTCTGCTGTGGAGTAGCACAGGGACAAAGCTGCTGTTCTTGTTTGTGAGTACACACCCCAGTCTATCACAGCCAGTTTCCTTAAGTATGTTATTTCTGGTGACAATTTTCTGTTTGGTATTTAGACAATGTTTCCGTAGATCAGAATTTGATGCAGAGTGACACTCAGATACTTTGGGTTAGGGCAAAGTTTGCAAATCTTGCATTCTCAGCTAATTCGGAGCTTCATGTCTGCTTCTCTGTTCTTTAAGTGGAAGACACAGGCCTATGTTTTTAATTACCATTATTTATTTATTTATTTATTATTTACTTAAAGTTTTTCTTACCCCTCCTTTCTCCTTAACAAGGACCCAATGTGGCTTATATCATTAAAGATAATATTTAAAGCTAAAAACAGTAAGTGCACAAATACAAATACTAAAAGGATCAAACAAATACCACACTAAAATACAGTAAACAAAAGCAACTCCAAAAACACAATCAAAATAGTAAGGCACATCACCTGTTTAAAAACTTCATTCAGTCAGCTGATCATTAAGGGAAAGCTAGCCTGGCTTCCTGTAGAAGGGAGTTCCAAAGTGTAGCACCTTTCCCATGTCCCCACCAAATGTGTCTCCAAGTTTAGTTTCAGCTGGTTTTTATAACATAAAGAAAGATCTTCCAATGCAGAGATTAGCTGGTGCTCAGTGTTCTCAAAGGTTTCCCCCTGGACTGTGTAAATGTTTAAAAGTAATGGTGCCAAGGTGTGGGAGTCCATTCCTTTGATTTTCAGTGCATCTTTCCACAATGGCATCTGCCCATCCCACCATCTCAGGCTAAGCTCCTCCATGTAGCCACCTTGAGGAAGGCCCGAAAATCATCTACAAGAGGCTGGGCCTTCTTTGCAGTGGCACCAACATTATACAATCAGGTCCTGAAGGAGCTATGCCATACATCTTCCCTGCTTTCATTTAGGAGGCAATTTAAACATTAGTCTTTAGGGAGACCTTTCACACTGAATGTCTTGCTTCCTGCTCCACTTTTTTGGAGAAGTTACTTCCAGTGCCATCTGCTCTGATTTTACTTATTATTTATATTTTAACTTATTGTTGGTTGTATTTTCATATTGGTTTTAGCTGCTTGTAGACCACCCAGAATAGTGCAGAAGTACTAATGGGGTCATATATTAAAAAAGTAATAAAATAAATAATAATAAATACATAATTATTTCTCCTGCAACTGAATCGCCCTTGAAATTCAACACAGAATTCTTGGTTTTCAAGTGGAACGGTTACTATTTCTGTCACAATCTTTAGTAAGGAGATACAGCTTTTTGAGCAGCAATTGATGATGGACAATATAATATGGCACTGTATGGTTGACAAATGCAGCTTTGGTTATTTTATGTGTTTCAAAACCATTTTCCATAAGCTGGCCTAGATTTAAGATTTGTACAGCTCTTGACAGGTCTAAAGCTTGCCTGTTCTGGAATTAGGAGAGCTTCAGTTTTAGGAGCTAGATGGCTTAATAGTCATTCATTCCTGCATTTGTGTAAATGGCATAGTAGGGAGATTGGCCTGTCGCTTTTGGGGTGTGATGGTTCTTTGCCTGGTTTCAATACAGCAATTACTTTCATCTTCCACCATATTTTGTTAGTAGGAAAAGGAAAGTCAAGAAAGATAGAAAGCCAGCACCATTTTTTTTTTTTTTTGCTTCTGTGTCACTTTTCAGATTGCCTTTTCTTAAACCAAATTTCTTTTGCTTCTGTTCAATATTTTGTACAATGTTGGAGATGCAATAAGACACAAAACATGAGTGGGTGGCTTATATCTGTGAATGGTGCCAGTTCTTTTTCCCCTGCTGTCTGCTTACTGTTTACTATACAACTTTCTGTCATCTCCCATTCTAGCTGCATCATAAAAATTGATTGTAAGAAGGATTCCCACTGTGTTGTAGTGGATAGACAGACTAGGATTCTCAAAAACAGGATTTGAATCTGTGCTGGAAACTGACTGGTGGAGCGGGTAAAAACCACATTGAAAGCCCCATTATCTTACATAAAAAGATAATTACAGTTTATTTCTTTTTTTTCTCGTTCAAGTGCGGAACTTCTTTTCAAGAAGATGACGTGATTGTACTTAATGGCACTAAAGAAGATGTAGCAGTGCTGAAGAAAAGAATGGAAGAGAGAAGGATGAAGAGTAAATTGGTAAAGGTAAGGTCTTTGATGATTTGTTGGATAAGGTACATGCAAGGACAGAATTGGAAATCAGCAAGAAGTGGTAATTTTTTGGGAGGGGGTCATCCCGATTCTAGAAGAAAGAGAACCATTACTGCTAGGAAAGTTTTAGCTTTCAGGGCAGTGACCATAATTCACAAAGCTACTGTGCCGGACATGTCAAAGCTCTTAGGACTTTGACATGCCCAGTGAAATTAATCACAAGAATCATCTTCTAAAGCTTTCAAATTCTGCAGTACAATTTTTTCAGGCTTCGATAGTATATAATTTGGGGAAATCGGAAGAAGTTTCTTCCCCATCTCCAGGTATTATACCTTCTCTGAAGAAGAGTTATGTAGAATTTGAAGGCTTGCTATGTTTGTGAGTTTTTAGTGATCTAATAAAGGAGCTTGGAAGGAGAGCAGTCATAATTTCCTAAAAGCCCTCCATTGCCACCTGGTGGAGGACATACAGGAAACATCTGCTTTGTGATCCTTTTAAGAAGCTGCTTCCGATGATCTGTTTTTACAGATATGCTGCAGCAGTGCATTTGGGGTAGGAGTGTGTATCACCCCTACCCAAATAGGTTCATATGAATAGGGGCCTGACTCACCCTGAGCCCTTTTGGTGACACTCCAGCCGATTCCTGATTGGGTTCATGATGGTATTTGTGCATTTTTGGATCTCTGTGAAAGCTCAATTCCTGCAAATGAAGAAGGCACAAAAGACTGTGACCTGGGGTGGGTGTGGTGAATATATAGCACTATGTATTTTGGGTGAGTGATCTAGGGGTTTGTGAATGGTGGCAGCAGTCAAATCACCTTTGGTACCGGTAGCTAACTAGTTAGCTAGCTAGCTAGCCATTCATTCGTTCATTCGTTCGTTCGTTCATTCGTTCATTCATTCATTCAGTTTAATGGCTAGGTGTCTTTGATTTTAAAAAACATTTTAACCTCAGGAATGTTAGATGGAACATGATGGGTCTGTGAGTGTGTTGTCCTGCCCCACAACTAATCAGAAACTCTTTGCTGTCCCCTGATGAAACATTTACATTAGTTACACACAAAGAAATGCACGTACAAAAAAGCAGATCTCCTTGGGAAAGTGTACCAGGCAGACATATTTTTTAATGTCTTAACAGCCTGCTTCATCAGATGGTTTTGGTCCAACTTGGATTCATCCAGTGAATGTTTGGAGACAGCATTTTTTATTTTTTTTATTTGCTCGAAAAGATATCTTCTCTTAGACTAATCAAAGCCTAATGATCAATATTCTTTGAATGTGAATGATCAAAGCCACGTTGGGTCCTTTTAAGGAGATAGGCGGGGTGAATTTTTAAAAAATAAATAAGTAAAATGTTAATGATAAGTAAATACTTTTCAAAGCATACTTTGAAACAGTTAACATGTTAATCTGATAAATGATTATGGTAGAACCACGCAAGGTCCTTTTTCCTGAATAGTTTTTCTTTTCTGGAAAAAAAAAATAAAGAAGTTATTCCATTATACTCATGTCATATATTTATATTGAGATTCTTTATCCAAACAGCTTTTTAGGTCCACATCTGCTTAGTTTCACTAGAGCTGCAGCTTCAGACACTGGGTCCCCAATAAGACAGGATTCCACCTTATTAATTATTTATTTATTATTTATTTTAAACATTTCTCTCCTGCATTTATTCTTTTAAAAGACCCAAAGCAGCTTGAACATTCACATTCACAGAATATTCATGTAAGAGAAGCAACCTTTTAGAGCAATGCTGTGATTTTAATGAAAAATAAATAAGATTTCAGTTCAGTTTTTCAAAGAAGTCTTGAAATTTGTGTCCCTATCTAGCCGTGGGGGAACTCACAATGCTGATTCATACCCTTGTAATCTCAAGAATAGACTACTGCAGTGCTCTCTGCGTGGGGCTACCCTTGAGGCTGATTCGGAGACTTCAAGTGGTCCAAAATTCAGCGTCCAGATTAATAATTGAGGTGAAGAAATTCCAGCATATCTACCCCACTCTGGCCGCCCTTCTTTGGCTATTGGATCGTTTTCTCATCAACTTCAAGGTTATGATAATAATAACATTCAAAGCCCTAAATGGTTTAGGACCTTGGTACCTATCAGCACACCTGCTCCCGGCCAGATCTGTCCGTAATACCCATTCTTCACAGGCAGGGCAGTTGAGGGCCTTGATCCCGAAGGAGGCCCAAAGGGAAAGAACAAGAAACTGGGCCTACTCGGCGGTCGCCCCCCATCTATGGAACAACCTGCCCATTGAGATCCGTCAGGCACCCTCGCTGGACGGGTTCAAACAAGCATTGAAGACCTGGCTCTTCCTCCAGGCTTTCCCAGAGCATTAAGATCTCAGCCTCCTTTTTACCATCCTTTTTGCTTTCCTCTCCATCAACCTTTTTACTACCTTCATTGCCATCTGTTTTAAGTTACCCTATTTAGTTATGTATTAATTTATTTTTATTGTGTTTAATACTGTTGCTCATATTGTTGTTAGCTGTCCAGAGTGGCCTGATTGCCAGATGGTATGGGGTATAAATTCAATCAGTCAATCAATCAATCAGTCACTCAATCAATCAATCAAGAAAGAACTAACTAGTCAGCATTCCTTAGTGAGACCATTTGAAATAGAACATTGGTTCCTAGCCTTGGGTGATTTAGGTGTTATTGGACTGCACATCCCAGAAACCCTAGCCAGCAGAGTTGGTGCTGAAAACTTCTGGGAACTACAGTCTGAGGACACGGAGAACCACCGAAATAGAGGGAGCCACCTGAGATACAACTTTGATCTTCATGCTTTCCATATACGTGCTCTCAGACAGCAAGTAAACTTGATAGTCAGCATTTTTTAGTGAGACCATTTGAAATAGAGCAGTGGTTCCTAGCCTTGGGTGACTCAGGTGTTATTGGACTGCACATCCCAGAAACCCTAGCCAGCAGAGTTGGTGCTGAAAACTTCTGGGAACTACAGTCTGAGGACACGGAGAACCACCGAAATAGAGGGAGCCACCTGAGATACAACTTTGATCTTCATGCTTTCCATATACGTGCTCTCAGACAGCAAGTAAACTTGAAGTAGAGTCTCATTTGATTGGTCTACTTGTTTTAAGTGACATAGATAAAATGAACTGCTCCTTCAGGTATATGGATTATGATACATTGGCTGAAATCCAGTAGTAAGTCAAAACTAGAGTAAACCCACTGGAGATTTGGTGATTCATTGGGCCTGCTCTAGTTGTGTCTACCTATTTGAATTACATTTAAGACCATTAAGATCTCTTAGCGCTTTATTCAAATATCATATTCAAAACATCTTTGAATACTTATGGGTAGAGATATACATAGGCTTTCTCTTCAATTACAGTGGTGCCTCGCACAACGATGTTAAGTGGTTCCAAAAAAAACACCGTTCTGTGAAACATCGTTCTGTGAAACACCATTTCCCATAGGAATGCATTGAAAACCGGTTAATCCGTTCCAATTGGAACGGATTGCCGTCCTTAAGCGAAAATCCCCATAGGAAACATCGTTGAGGGAAACACGGTTCCCCAATTGAAATGCATTGAAGCCGACTCGATGCATTTGAATGGGTTTGCGAAGTCCCTTTTCGGTCCTGTAAAAGTGCCTTAAACTGTTTGAAAAGTGTTTTAAATGACTGGAGATTTGGTGATTCATTGGGCCTGCTCTAGTTGTGTCTACCTATTTGAATTACATTTAAGACCATTAAGATCTCTTAGCGCTTTATTCAAATATCATATTCAAAACATCTTTGAATACTCATGGGTAGATATGCATAGGCTTTCTCTTCAATTATTTGTCTTTCTCTTATACAGTTTTCCTCCTTCATCAGTTCTGTGTATTCACCTATCTTATACAGTTTCCCTCCTTCATCAGTTCTGTGTATTCACCTAAATTCATCACAATGTAGATTCAGAAATAAGCAAGTTAACCAGCATCAGCTGAATGGATTGTGTAGCCCTTTAATATGAGAGGCAAGAACAACTGTACAAAATAGAATCTCTTGTATAAAGCATCTTAAGATAACCGCTAGCCTTCATTGTTTCAGAAGTCCAAGAAATCTAAAGCAACAGAGACAACTGTGACATCTGATGCTGTTGAAGGTTAGTTCATTGCCATGTGCAGATGCAACAAATGGCTCTTCCAGATTATTATTAATTTTTTAAATGCAGGAATTGCATAGTGTAACATACAGCTCTGCTGTCACCTGTCCGTCACAGCTGGGCAGGGGAACATCAGCCAATGAGAGGACGGAGGGTGGTGCAGAAGGGGGAGGAGCTGGATTATATATAGGGGTGTGTGTGAGGGAGAGTTGTTTTGGAGTTTAGGGTGATGACAGAAATTGTTTGAGAGAGCGAGATAGATCTGTGAGAGTTAGTCAGTGAGGGAAAAGTCTGTGTGAGGTACATTAAATGAGAAGCTTGATTTACAACTTGATTTACTACCTGTGATTCACTCCTTTTTATTTTGTATAAATTAATAAACAACGTTTTGTTTGAAAGAAACACTTGTCCTTTTTGAGTATTAACGATAGGTTGGTGGCAGCAATTTGAAGAAGAGTAGTGAGCACTCTGGGAGGCCTGTATTGGTAGAGGCGTCAGAGTGGCCCGCTACACATAGCTATTGCTATTGCTGTGCAGGTTCCACATATTGTTCCTCAAGATCATGATTCTTTTGGGAAGCTGAATTTTCCCAGCACACCAGCTGAAAAACTATTGCTTGGAAACATTTTTCTCCAGCAGGCATGTATATCTTCATTTGTGCATGGTGTGTAGAGGAGAGGCACCAGTTGGCTTCTATCCCGATGGCTAAAGCTAGTATCCTTTCCATATCACTGTGCCATTCTGTTGATTCTGAATGCCAATTGGGTGTCACTGGACAGAAAATGGAGCATTGTTATTTTAAAGATAGTAATAAATGAAAAAATTGTGTATGCATATAAGAAATGCCTTGAGAAACTCTACTCTGCCGCCATGCATTCATATACAAGAACATTCATCTTCTAGGTAAATGTAAAGGTTCCCCTTGACATTTAGTCCAGTTGTGTCAGACTCTAAGAAGCGTTTCCAAGCCATAGAGCCAGAGTTTGTCCATAGACGGTTTCTGTGGTCACATGGCCAGCACGACTAGACACAGAACGCTGTTGCCTTCCCACCAAGGTGGTACCTATTTATATACTCACATTTTTACATGCTTTCGAACTGCTAGGTTGGCAGGAGCTGGGACAAGCGACGGGAGCTCACTCCGTCGCGTGGATCCGATCTGACGACTGCTGGTCTTCTGACCTTGCAGCACAAAGGCTTCTGCGGTTTAACCCGCAGTGCCACCATGTCCCTCATCTTCTACTTTCCAGCAAAAACCAAAATGTCCGATGCAAGCAACTTCTATCAATTTTCCTATAATTTCAAGGATATCCTACATCCCACTCCCGCTGCAGTGCAAACCCCCCCCCACCCTATTAAATTCAGCATTTTTTCCCTCTTCTAATCCTGGATTACAGTTTTCTCTGGCTGATTTTTAAAAGGACACATCAATGGTGCCAAAACATTCATAGCTTTTGTTTCCCACTCTTTGCTAGCACAAGGACAATTGAAAACTCTCTCTTTGGGGTCGTTCTATTTAGGCTCACACAGCAAAGCTTGCCCTTTTTGTATAAGCTGCCACAAGGGACCCCGGGACATTGTGAGGAGACGGTATGCGGATCATCCAAAGGGGGAAAATACGTACAGTTGATAGCCACCTATGGAGTGTATGAGGAACCCCTGTTGTTTAGAGCAAAACTGGATGTTAAGTACACAATTGTTAAGACAAGCAGTCACTTATCTTACTTTCCTGCTGCTGTCAGGTTTAAGAGACTAGCAGTAGCAATTAATTGCTAATGCCATGAGTTTTTGAAGTCAAAGGCATTAAATGCAGAATTTCCTTGTTTATAACCACTTACTCATTGGACATTCAGTTTACCAGTAACTCTGAATGATTTTGTTCTGTTACCGTACTTTGACTGCAGTTGAATAAGAGTTTTGCTACAGAAATTAATCTAATAGGATAGACATTGCAGTTTTACCTTTCTTTTATCCTCAAACATTTTACCACCACCACCTTTTCTTTTCTTTGTTTAACAGCTTCAGCCAAACCATCTCAAGCAAATGATGGAAAGGATGCTACAGTCATTAAATCTGGAGAAAAGAGAAGCATCACTTTCTGCAAGGGCACAGGTTGGTATAAAAGGTCCGGTGTAGCTTCTCCAAAACTCTACTTTGAGGTGTTGGAGCCCCAATTCTGGCTCACCTCCTAATTGAAAAATGAGAGTTCATAATGGGCCATGTCACAGCAGGCTCTTAGTCCCAAACCTCTTGTGGATGAATCAACTCCTACCCCCCTGCCTTTCATCCATGGTTAAACAGAATGTCTTAAACACTGACCATGGTTAATCTTAACCAGAATTCAGTTTTACTTAAAATGGAAACTGGAATTTCAAGCTGTTTATTTGGATTGAAAAGCTTCCCTTAACTGAGTCAAAAATCCTTCCTGAAATGTGTCACAATACATTTGTTTTTGTTCAGTTTTCATTGTTGCTGAATAGACTTACACAGTTACCTCTCTGAAATCCTGTGGTTCCAGTGAGCTAGCTAGAATACTAAGTTGTTTTCCAGCATGGTGAATTTGATTTAAATAAAATATCAGGTATTTTTGATTATTTAATTATGTTTTAATGGTTTTTAAATTTAAATGATGATTTAAATTAATTTGATTTTTTTAAAAATTTGATTTTTATCCACCCTGTTTCCCACTTCCTAGAGCTCAAGAGTGCCCTGAGGCACTTTGCTCTGGCAAAGTCTGCACAGGAGGGCCAGACTCCTGGAACTTCTTGCACAACTTCCTGTAAGCAGTGCCATATGTTCATATCTTAGACAATAATTATAGCTGTCACCAAATTAGAAATATTTTAGTTAGAACTGCAGAGCTGGAAGAGGCACAATGGATTATGAAGTCCAGATCCTGTCAAGGAGGCACAGTAGGGATTTGAACTCCCAACTTTTGACTCTGCAGCCAGATAACTGAACCTCTGAGCTATCCAATGGTTCTAAATAGAGGAACTTTTTAAAATTTTGCCTCATTTTTAAAGTTGCCAAAATTCACTTCTGCTGACCTTGAAGATTTTGACATGCACACACATGCAAATGGTACAGAAATTTAATATGTGTAAAATGTAATGGGGCTGTGAGTGGCCTGAACCATTTGCTTGTCTAATTAGGATAGACCAGCTGAAGCAATAAGATTTACCTTCAATGTTGGTTTACTGTTCAGTGGTTGAGTCAGTGGGTCTACTCTGTTTGGAATTGGCAATTGGATTCAGGCCAGTATGTGCATGTATCTGTACGGATGGAGTATTGTGGGTGGAGTAAACACATGGTCTCTCTTTGCTTTCTCTTATGGCAGTCAACGAAAGCATGTCATCGTCATCTGGAAACGACAACAGAAATGCAGCTGGAACTTCCAAGCGATCCACTGCAAGCAGAGAAGAGAAATCAGAAGCATACAAGTCTATTTTTACTTCCCACAGTTCAGCCAAGCGCTCCAAGGAAGAGTCTTCCAACTGGATTACACATACAGCATATTATTTCTGAAATGGGAAAAAGTGTGATATCTAGGTCTTTTCCAGCTTGCTTTTTCCCCCATTTTGTTATCTGGTAGTTGTGGCTTTGCAAATAATCTAAAACACATTAGCTTCATGTTGTATAATAGGTAATGAAAGTAGATGCTGAAACTGGCTTTTGATTTTAAAAGGGACATGATTTGAACAAGTACTGATCATTAGGATCAGTGCTTGTTGCCCTTTTTCACAAGTGATGAACTCTGATCTTACTCAGTTTGAATAACTGGGATGTATACTGTCTTGATTGTAAATTACTAGTTCTCTCAACGGCAGCTGTCAGGCCACCCGGGCAGTGTCATATACTGGGCAAGCATCACATTTACCCTTAGCTCTGCATCAGTGGGAATTTCAATCTAGTAAGAAAAAGGTATTTCTATATAATAACATGAGAGATCAGCATTATAACCTCCCTATCTATTACTCTTAGATTTGTTATATCAGGTGAGTCAAGGTGCAGCCGGGGATTAACAAAAGACATTCCATACTCCCCTTTCCCAAATGTTTGTCTTTAGCACATCCCAGTTCTAAACCAAAAGTGGTAATAAAATGCTAAAGACGTCTGTGTGGTGTCAACTATTCAGCAGCTTTAGGGGGTCTGCCTTGGTTTGCCCTCCTAGAGCTCTTCTGAGTTCATAGAAGTGATGTTGCTGAAATATTTCGTTTAAACCTCCGCTCTTGCATTTTGACAGTAAAACAAGACAGGGTCTTTTGTCATTTTCTGGATCCTTCTACTTGCAAATAAAAACCATAATTTAACTTTGTATTCGAGATGTTCTTTTGCAACTTAAGCCATCAAGCCCAGCACATTTTCACTTTAAATGTTTAACTTGGATGGAAGGAATTATGAGGAGAAGGTGAAAATATTTTAGTGGTGTTCTTTCGTGGACATTTGGGCTAATATCAGGGTGTACGTCTTGTAAATGCAGCATCACGCTGTATCAGATCTTGCTTTGCAGCACAAGAAACATAAGGGACAGGAATAAAACCTGTAGCATGAGTGCAAAAGTTCTTGCCATTATCTTTTTACAATACTGTTCAATTTTTGCATAGAACCTTGCAGAAATGGAAGAACTTTTCTGGATTTGGTGGTAGCTTTTCTTAAAGCAGCATCCTCTTGCAGCTTTTTTGTTCTGCTGGGTGTCACACAGCAGAAATATAAAAATAAAATAGCTATTCCTTTTGTCTTATTATGAATAAACAACATGAATAGAAAACCCCTCCTTTGGAGTTGAGAAGAAAGGTTACATTTTGGGCTTATTTGGAAATATGAAGGGCCTGTGCATCTTCAGGCATCTTCCAGTTTGCAACAGAAAGACAAGGTCCTATTGGTCACAGACTGATCTTTATTTGGTTGCCGGATATACTTGAATTGTTCGGTTGATTGATCAGTCGATCTTCTCAGCTGGCACTGGGCTGGTATTCTGTCCTTACATATCTCTTCCCATCTGTCTCCTGATCCATAAAAGAATATAAGATGCATCACCTTTGCCATAGCCATAAAGTTCAAGTGTGTCTTTTCCTCCTCCTTCTTCATTGTCAAAAGGTGTGAGGCTGAATCCTTTGAATTTGAAAGGTGTGGAGTGGATAGAGCTATGCATAAAAGATGAAACAATAAAGTGGGGGTGGGTGTTTCTGATGCCAAGTTTGCATGATTTACTAAGTTTAGTACAGTTCAGTATTTTCTGAGCTAGAACTACAGGCTCCCCAACTGAAGCCAGACCCAAAATAGTGGCCTAGAAGGACAAGGGAGTAAGTATGGGTTTAGGATTAAGGAGCAGGGTCATTTTGAGTATATGCTTAACCAAGGGCTTTATTTTTTTTTGTTAGATCTAAGCTTACAGTTTTTTCATGCACATAAATCTACTTTTGGGTTCATCCTGTTAACCAGTTCAAAAGATTACCGCCACTATGGTTTCACTGAAAGATTTGCTGTCGTCCTTTTACTTTCATTTACATTGCTTCTGTCTACTGTTGAGGTTGCTTGATTCTGTACTGAGAGGATTTTATGTAGCGTTTGAGGTCTCCGTCAGTAGAGAGCCAGGCAGCATGTCTAATGTTGCCTCCATACCTCTGGCTCTACCTCCTAGTATATTTCATCCCATCCCTATGACACTAGTTACCTAAGACAAGATGAGAATTCCTGAGGTAATATGTCCACTATTGGAGTGTGCTCAACCAGCAAGCTGAAACATCCAGTGCTTCACTGCACATTCATTTTCTTCATTTGCAGGTTGCTTTGATATGTGATATTGAATATGTCGATGCTTAATTAAATCAGCCATATTTCCTCCTTGATTCCCTTCCTTGTACATAGTGAGTGATACTTAGTTGTCACTTGCACAGTACTGGATGACCACAACCACTTTTACATGGTGGTGAACATTTTTGCTACCAATGAATAGTTTTGAATTGCTGCTCAGACAACTCCTGTATTAAACTGTACTAGACTATATTACAATACTGGCAAGAAGGCTATCTACTCAAACGTAGTCGGGGCATTTATATACAAGGACCAGCTGGCTTCAAATCAGTCCAGAAATAAGAAGCAAAGCTACGGCCCTCTATCATGCTCCCTGTATATCCTTGGTTGGCACTGCTCCACTGAGGCAAGGAAATATGAACAAGATGTTGGTTTCCAAATAATTAGTATATTAATGGGAGCAGCAGCAGCTTGGTTTAGTTATAGCACTGGCACTCCCTGGAAGCCATTAACAACAGCATCAGAAAAAGCAGCGATGGTCTATTGCACAGATGGAGGAAGGAATCCTGACTAGAGATGGGGGTATTCGTATAGGAATATCCCTGCACAGGTGGCATTTACTGGCAGGAGGTGGGAGAACCAGCCTTGCTGCAAGGGCAAAGAGTGGCAAGTGGATTGCGCGCTGCAGCGCCATTCATAGAATCACGTCATCTGCATCTGGTGGGTCAATGAGTGGACTGTCCGGCCCCATGGGGCTGGACCCTTGTTAATGCCACCTGTGCGGGAATATATTTGTATACTTCTCTTATCCTAACTCATCAGGTCCAATTAAAAAAAAGAGCTAACCAACACGGTTGTAATTTCCCACCTCGTATCCTAACTCATCAGGTCCATTTAAAAAAGAGCTAACCAACACGGTTGTAATTTCTGGGTGAGCAACTCCATAGTCATCCAGATGCTGATTTGCAATACCTGTTATCTCTCCCCATTGGCTGTGCTGACTAGGGCTGATGAGAGTTTCACTGCAACAGTATGCCCATCCCTGGAATATACAAACAACAAAAAAGCCAAAATCTAGTTGCACAGCTCTGCCTGCACAAGAGGAATGTTTTCATTATCAGTGGCAGATCGGTCTTTATTAAAGAGGGTTTTTTTTCTGGTTTTGGAATGTTCATGGCTTGCACACAATGAGGTGAAATTGGGTGTTACTGCTGATATTGATATTCCTGTTGCACAGGTGCAATCCGCTCAATGGGATTTTGGCATCTACACTGTAAGACACAAGAAATGTCTCAAGATGCAGTTGGAAAGTAAGAGTTGATTAGACAGTAAAATGATTATGTTTATGCTTGGTTAGTATTTCTGGTTTATGCCAGCTTGGTTTAAACAGGGTTTTTTTTCATGCGGTTTGCCTAATATTTCTCAACTTCAAACAAGATACTCCTTGTTTGCTTAGGATTCTCCACACCCACCTTAATCAAAACATTTCAGGTTTCCACTGTGTTCCAGAGATGTATTCTGCCTCTTTTTCTGCTCAGAAATTCATCTTCGTTGTTTTCTTTGTCTTATTCTTTCTCTCGCCCTTGTCCATCTCTTTTGCCTTTGTATAATTTTGTTTTCTTGGCACCAAAATTGTCTAATAAAGTTGCAGTGACTCAGCATATTTACACAGCATCTTGTTTTCTCTAGACAACATGCTTATAATTATCATCAACAACAGATGACAAAATTAGACATGATAGAGTGGCAAAATTAGTGCACGGATCATTATGCAAAAAATTTAACTTGCCAAAAACCCATGGGAACATCAGGTAGAGAAAGTGTCAGAAAGTGACGTCAAGATCCTGTGAATCCAAATAATAACAAAAGAACGAAGAAATGTCTGGATCATTGACATTGCAATTCCAGGGGATGCCAAAGTAGAAGATAAAGAATTAGAAAAACTAACAAAGTACAGAGACCTGGCAATCGAAACATCTTGTTGGTGCTTTAAACACACTTCAGTGGTCCCTGTAGTCATCAGGACTTTGAGAACAATATCAAGAAAGTTCACACAATATTATAAGCAGTTGCAGATATCAGAAAACATCATCAGAGCTACAAAAAGCAATATTAGGAACACCATACATACTGCACCAATATTTAATAGATACTTAGGTTATTGTTTAAAACTTGTACAGTATCTGTTATATCATACCAGTCAATAT